GCGCAAGTAACTGTCCCTGTATGACGCTGTTGTGGAGCATATGCTGGACATCGTCGAAATGGATGATCTAACTGTCACCAACAAATCTATTACTATTACTGGTGAACATGCTGCATATTCTTCCTTTTTTCCCTTGACAGTGTCATTCACCCCCGTTCCGCCACCGCGATCGGCCTGCCCACAGCCGCCTCTCAACAAGAATCCACCCTATAACGGTTGGGGCTCTGACGAAGACTCCTTAGGCAACTGCAAGGGCTTGATCCCGAAACCACCGCCAAAGGACTTTGTAAAGTTTATGGAGAAGGACAAAGTTGGTTTGGAGTCGCATGTTTTGCGTTTTGCGGCTCGCATCGTGACTGATCTGCCACAGGACCGCGACCGCTGCTTCATCATATACTGCTTCCTCACTGACGACACATTCCTGATTTACGAACCACCCGTGCGTAATTCCGGTATGTCAAGAAAATTCCTAAATGATCTTACCACATATAACCAAAACTAAATGTTTACTGAGACGAAGTTATTAGTACATTTATTCGTGTTTTTAAATTTCCAGGTTTCAAAGGAGGTAAATTTATGGAACGCAGGAAGGTGATGAAACCGGGTCAAGAGCGCTTCCGCATTAATCTACCAGAGTACTACACCACGGTGGACGTCTATGTTGGTGCTGTGGTTGACTTCAATAACTTCCTCTTCGAGGTATGTGGGGCGGATGAGTACGCATACAGGTACATGGAGCAGCACCCGGCTGAGTTCCCCTTCTCTGATGTGCCCCGAATCATGTCCAAGCTGAGACCGCTCATGCAGGGTAGAGAGGAGGAAATTAATAATTTCCTAAAGGAGCTGGATCCTGAAGGTGCGAAGAGCATGCCATATGGAGATTTTGAGAAGGTGATCCAGAAGCTCATCAGCGATCCCCGTTACGATCGTGTTTGTATCGTGGCACATGAGATAGCAACGTTAGCTCGAAATTATGCAGAAAAGTGAGATTCAGTTATTATCTTCATGTTTTCTTTCAAAATAACTTATTAAGGAATCGGCGTTTTGCGTTAGCTATGCTTATTTCGATTTTCATTTGCTTTTAGAATACCGACCAAAAAGAATTATATGGCTATCATTGGGTTGGCACAACAACAATTGCGTAAGGCTCCCTTCGAGAACTTCCAGGCCCTCCTTGATGCTTGCCGCTACGAGGATGTTAACAAGACGGGTTCCATGAGTCAGACGGACCTGCGTCGTATATGCCGAGCGAACCACTTTCCCCTGCCGGATGACATGCTCTATACTCTGATGGAAGTGTAAGATACCCCCTGTTCTCGTATGTATATATAGTACAAACCTCCTACTATCACTATTAAAGTAGCGCTTATTGTTATATTTTATTGCAGATCCAAGAATTTCGACAACGGCCTTGTGTACTATGAAAGCTTCATCAATCAACTCAACTGGCGTTGCAATCCGGTGCCTCCTGGGACTGTGCCTTGTGACTACTCTGGAAATCTGGAGGTGGACTGGTTTACTGTCGTTACGGGCCAGGGCTCTAAAAAGGTCGGAAGCTGTAAGAAGGTGCTCACTTGCCTGGGCGCAGAGCGTGTCTGCTACACCAAATTCATGACTGACCTCATGAATGCTGGTCAGTGCAAGTAAACAGTGGACAGAGCAATTCGCCCCCCCCCTCTCCTTCCCTTTCCCATTTCCATTAGGTACCAAATATTTGATCGAACAAGTTATGCTAGGTATGTAGAGCGTTCGATTCTGTTTGCCTCACTATCTGAGAGAGAGTCGATTTGACTAAATTACCGTCAACGTTCTGTAATTGCATGTAACTTTGCAATAAAGTTGCTGTCTCCGCTGAATGCTCGTCCACAGCGGTATTTGGCTTTTCTCACCCTGTTTAATTCCCTCTTTATGACTCTTGAATGTGGTGAGGCTGGTTGTAGGCGGTCATTCGAAAGCTGGACCGTAGACAATTCTGCATTTCTGACGCGGTAATTAGGGTGAGTACTGGGGGTGGCCACATAAGTAGTGTAGAGTGGATAAATTGAGTCTGGCTTTTAAAGTTTTATCTAGATTAGAAAATTGCAAATAATTCCTATCTTGAATGAAAACACAATGAAGAATAAGAACAAAAGGAAGAAGAAGAAGAAGAAGAAGAAGAAGAAGAAGAAGATTCGATCACTGCAACAACACTTCTTTCGCCTGACGTTTCGACTTCAGTCGCGGATTCTTAATCAGGGACATGAGCAGAAAATAATAGCAGAAAGGGGTTTCTGATGAAGAATCCACGACGGAAGTCGAAACGTCAAGCGAATAAAAGTTTTGT